ATATAGCATTTCAGGTTAATGAAACACTGTAAACAACATAAATTTCGCGGGCTCAAATTTTCGCGAATCGGGCCAAAGCTGAAAATTCGAAAATTATTCGCGGGTTCTAATTTTGGCGAATCGAGTGTAGCTTCCGTAGCGTTCACATATTGCCCGAATTGTTCGCGGGACGTATTTTTGCAAATTGTATGCGATTTGCGAAAATCGCGAAAATGAGGTTTTCGCGAAAATTGAGTTGTTTACAGTACTTCATAGGCAGCATGTTTAAAGAAACACCAAAAAACGTTTATGAATTAAAAAAAAAAAACAGAAAGGTTTAGGGTGGGCACCTTAAAAGTGATATTTTAAGTTTTTTTTAATCGTTAGTAGGTGCGTCGTAATCGTTAATTACAATATCGGCGTAGCCCTGCATGTTGCGGCACACCGAAGAAAGCAGAGCGTGAAAACGGAGATAAAAACTAGCAAAAGTGACGTCATCGGCAGGGTCCGCTAACCCTAACTCACCATTAAGGTGACTTGTGGGTGCCAACAATGACATCACGACGCTTTGGACAGATAACAGGTGGAAGAGAGACTCGCTGCATGCCCGGCTGCAATCGCTGCACATCTTTTCAAAATAAATATAGTTTACATTCACTTCCCTACTGAAAATTCTCATTTGTTTGAGAACTTTCTCTGTCCAATAAACACACGTGAATCATACAAGACATATAAGAACATATAAGAACAATATAAGAACTACATAAGAATTATATAAGAGCTAAATAAGATATATAAGAACATACAAGCAGCATATAAGAAAGTTGTGAGAAGTTTCTTATACGTTTTTGATATAGTTCTTATATATCTTATGTAGTTCTTATAAAGTATGGTTCTCATGTGTTCTTATACATCTTGTATGATTGATATGTGTTTATTGGACACAAGAAATTTCTCATACACATGACTTTCTTCACTGGGGTTTCACCCAAGTTTAGTGTGATTACTGAATTCATGGGACAAAATGCTATGGAAGTCCACTCCTAACTCAGATTTCTTAAAAAGTGCTCCAGCTTCCCTTTGATGCTAGTTTGACTTAGTTGCACAAGCCTGTGCCAGTGCACGAAACTAGAGCTGTAATATTGCTGTAATATTTTGCTTTCAATGCACTGCCAGTGGAGAAAGGTTCGGATTCCATTAAGCCCAAGAAGCTAAACCATTAATTTGAACGTGACATACAGTAGACTCTCATTAATTCAAACTCCAGGAAGCCACGAATTTTGCATGATTCACCAAAAGCTCGAATTATCGGAAGATTATCGTGCCGCTCGCTTCATATTTTCAGATTATTCACGCCATTCCAGCGTCACAGCACTAAAACGCCGAGCAGAGCTACCCGAACTACTCCATCGTCGCAAACTTTCACGCCTATCTCTTTTCCATAAACTTTACCACCACGCGTCACTTCACGGTGATTTCTTCGAGCCACCTGCCGTTATTTTTCCACGCCGCGATCACCCCTACAAAGTTAAACGCATAACTTGTAAGTCATCTGCCTTTTCCCGGTCATTCATTCCACGTACCACAATCGATTGGAATAATCTACCATCGCACATTGCCTCAGAAAAAGACACCACGAAGTTTCAAGAACAAATTCAAAATACTGATGCTATCTAACTTTTGCTGTTTTACATTGTTGTTTCATCTTTTCCGGAACGTGCAGAGCAAATGTGTACTATTTTGTTTTTACCTTGACTCAGCTTTATTGCAGTGTGATGAGTGAGTGTATGTTTTTTTATTCGTTTTTGAGTGTATCCTTTATTTTCTTTTTATTATTAAGTGTATTGATTGTTTTCTAGTATTCTCATATGTTGTTCAATGTGCACTAGTTCCTATTGGAACGATTTATGTACCCCCCCTATGTAATACCCTCTCACGAGGGCCTTTAGGGGTAATATGAATAAATAAATAAATATGTTGCAAGAAAAATTATGATTTGCTATATGGATGACTACACACAAAAAACAGATATTTAATGATCACCTCTACACAGGCCTACTAATCATAGCACGTATGCCACTCATGAAACTTGCTGAAATTTATTATACAGTTTTATTCACCGCTCAAGAATGTTGTTTATCGGGGACTGTTTAGACAGCACATGACACCTTAAAATAAAGTTAGGTGTGTTCAAACAGAAAAAAAGTTGTCTATTATGGACTATAAAGCGGGGACCCATGAGTAATGAAAACGGTCATTGCGCTGCAGGTTCCATAGCAACTTGCATGAACGCTCCGACGTAGAGCCATGCCTCCACATCACAGCATCCGCGCAGGTTGCTGTGGAAACTGCCATGCAGCACCCGTTTTTGTTGCTCATGTGTCCTCTGGTTCAGAGACGTATATAGAGAGAGTTTAATTATTCATTGAGTTGTATACGAGGCAAATGAGGAAGCACCATTGGCTGAAGGTGGGCTGGGCGTGTTCCAGAACGTTTTCACAAATGCTTTGTGGCCAACCAAAAGCTGCGCATAATAGCCTGGCGGTGGTTGCGAGAAAAAAAATAATTGATAAGTGCTTCAAAGTAACTCTCGGTGACTAAACATGTGGTGCACATGATGTTTCAATCGCGGTCATGCAACATCACGTTGGAACATACATATAAAGATATAGAAGATATGGAAAGCATGCGCGACCAACAGAACGATTTCCATAATCCATACGCCAGGCGCCGAGTGCCACGAATCTGCCGTCGAAACGGTCAGACTTCGTTTGAGCAAAATAGAAATCAAGTGGCACATTTTTTCTTTGCATCTTCTTGCATCACCATAATCGAAACATTGCGTGCACCATAACCATGAAGAGTTACTACATTTAACACTTACGCACTTATTAAAACTGTTTCTCGCTACTATAGCCAGGAGATTCTTTAAGGCTTCTGGTTGGCCAAGAGAGCTTGTCAAGCCCTCTATCTGCGTCTGGTGCACACCCTGGCTCTGCACGCTCCTTTCATTGACTAAGCTGTCTCTATACATTTTATCGTGAGTAGCGCCAATTTGAGAGCGAGAAAAAAAGGGAAAAGGCTACCGGCACTTTCCCCCTTGCTGGAGTGTTAGAAAACGTGAGTCCCGGATGAGAGGCTTTGCCTGTGCTGGGTGCCTGCATTTCTTCTCTGTTTTTAACTCCCAAACTTAATTAAAGCTACGGGGTTCGATGGCGACAGTTCCCCGGTCATCGGGACACCATTGCTCGGTTACTTCCAAACCGAAGCGTTCAATAGATTAATAAATTACATAAAAAATATTAAATTTTAAGTAATGTTTTCACTAGTAATGAGTACAATACAAGTCTGCTCGGGAGTTAATTTCCGGTGTTTATTGGTATTTATAAAAAAATGGTTCAGTGGTTATCAGTCCCATCATTGCTTTACATGTTTGATCTGAGGTTTGGGAAAAAGCAGCGAAATATACTCTCCATCGTCCACTGACCAACTTGTTACATGCCCCACTGTTTCTAGGCACCAGGACTTAATAACTCCCATGGTGTTCAGACAAATTAACTGATTGGGCTCGACAGTTTTTCGCTCACTGCCGCCATACAAAATTATTCAAAGCTCTTGGTTGGTCAGGGGATGTTATTTGAACACTGCCAATCTATCCGCTTTCGGCATGTGCGTCGCCAATTCTGCTTTCTATTTTTTATGGCCCCCTTAACCAAACTTTCCATGTCTCGTGTCTTGAACGTACAGGGGATATACGCGCTGAACTTCGAAATATATGAAGCATGTTGAAAACTGCGGTATTGAAGAAAAAAAACAAATAAAAAATTTTTCTTCAATAAAAAAATTAAAGCACACAACTAGACAATCCTTTTTAATGCCACATTTAAAAGCAAAAATATCACAGTGTGAAGGATTTTGCAATTGTACATTATTGCATACTCCTTTGACCAGACCTATTTATGGAAGCAGCAGCTACATGTTTCATACTTCCCAAGCTTATGATATTTAAATCTTAAAGTACTTATTTCCAGTAATGATTGTTTGAGAGCTCAATGCTGTGAGTTCAAATGTGTCGCCCAGTCAGACACCGGTCGCACAGAACCGGGAGGCATCCACAGAAAAGGTACGTACTAGCTTAATCCTAGTTAGCGGGAACACGGGAGAGCATGGCGTCGGGTACTTTCTTCGTATATTTATTGATTCCCAGCAGAGCGGCATGCATTCTCGGTGGTGCGGCCTACAAAAGTAAACAAGACCACTCACACCAAACGCTTTAACACAATACACACCAAAACACCCAAGAAAGTTTTAAAAAAGAAACCTGCACACCCCAGACACTCCTAACATCGCGGAGCTCTTGAAAAAAAAGCATACATATGTAAATTGAAGATGAGCTCCCACCAACCTTAAAGGTGAAGTGCCCACTAACATGAGATGCGTGGAGCACCCACCAACATGAAAGAGTCCCTTTGACACCAAAGAGTAAGAAGGCATACAAAAGCTTAAGGTGGGTAATGGACTAGAACCTGGCACTTTGCCATTTAAAATTTAGTGTAAAAATAAGAAATCATGAAGGTCTCTTTTTTTTTTGCGAAAGTGTGTAGATACCCAGTTCACATAGCCGCCAGCTGTACTAAGCTTCAAGTTTGTTTCCGACGTTTTGCTCATAAATTAAGCAAATAAAACGCCTTTGGACACCTTCAATACGCTTACATTTCATAGAATTAAGAAAATTCCAGGCAGTAGAAGCAAATTCGTTTTGAGCAGACATTTTTAACGCAAATGCAGAAGATAGTAATTTAAGTTCTCGCTCCATCTAGACACCATTCCGAGCAGCTTCATTAGAGAATATACAGCAGCATTGACGTGCGCGTATAAGAACAATTGAACGGCCCGCCGTGCCACTCCAGCGCATGCGTCTCACTCTATTTACAATTGCGCATCGGGCCCCTAGATGGCTCTTATAGCGCACAATGCCACGCACTCCCATGCTCCCGTTGACAGGGATTAAGGTACTACATCTAGAAAAACCCTAGTGTCGAGATGGAATAATTCCAGCTGAGCGGACAATACTTTTGGGCCGCTTGCGCGTAAGCGCAACCCGAGGGCGCCGGTGTCTCCGAGCTCAGGGCGCTGTAAACATGCATGACGTAACTGTCTTTTGATGCGCGCCAAACATGGGCACTCTTGCTAGGATCAAAGAAGTCCTTCCACTCCTTGTAGTAGATCGGAAGGAAGAGGCTAAAAGGAAGTACTCGCACTCCATGGCAGGAACCGTTGAGGACGACTTCTCGAATGCTCTTCGCCTTGCATCGAGACAAGATGGCTTTCTTGAGCACAGTCGGACCAATGGACGCCCATTGCTGTGGCTTGTACCTTGGAGGCACCAGGCGCATGCAGTCCTCGAGGAAAGGGTGATGGCGGTCGAAAATTAGGAACGCATTTGAGGTCATGTCTTGTTCATGCTGAAAAAAAAAAAAAAGGACAGTCGTTTTTGAGAGTATTACGGACTAAATCCTCGGTCACATTGTTAATGCACCAAACCAAAGGTAGCCTACCGACACTGACTGAGAGCGTTTTGTTTTCTTATAGGAGAGTCTTGTCATATAGGGATTATAGAAAATATTTGTTCAGACATGTTCGACGAATACATGAAAGAAACATACATCGAACATATTTCAGGCGCGTACTCAGATAATTCTATGATCGTGCAAGTTGAACTGCTTCCTTTGCGCGGGTTGTGATAACGTCAGAACGCCAAGCTCTGATTGGCTCTGACTGAACGATAGTGAGTAGATTTCAAAGCAAGCTGCCTTGAGGTCTACCCACTATCCTTCAATCGGAGCCAATCAGAGCTCGGGGTCGTTCTGACATCCCCACAACTCCTGCAGAGGAAGCACACGATCCTGCGCTCCGCAATATTTATGTGCAAGCAGTGCTACCGCAGCTAAGAAGATTTGCGTTTGAGTATCACCGAGTGCGTTGCAATCGATTGTGACCGCTCACAGCGAGAGATAACACACTGGCGCCATCGATTGGAAGGTCCCGCAGAACACTTCAAATCTCAGTATGTACTTCTGATCAATAATCTAAGCTTTTGCTTTCAGGGTTCATATTATGTTTTATAATCAGCTCGCATAAGTACAGGGTGTCATAAAAGAAAATTTACACGGTCTTTTTTACCGCAAAAATAAACTAGCGCGTCGCCGAACGCTCATTCTCTGCCCAAAGGTAGCGCTAGAGGTCACAACCAGATGCCAAAGTTTCAGCTCGATCCGGTAACTTAATCAAAAGTTATAACTGATTTTCTGAAAATTTCAATGGGAAAATGGCGGCCGACGGTGTTTTCAAACACATGGGGCTCTATGCCACGTGAAACCAAAAACGGGCGGAAATGGGCTCCATTTTCCCATTGAAATTTTCAGAAAATCACTAATAACTTTTGATTAAGTTATAGGATCGTGCTGAAACTTTGGTATCTGATCGTGACCTCTAGTTCTACCTTTGGGCGGAGAATGAGCGTTCGGCGATGCTTAGTTTATTTTTGCGGTAAAAAAGACCGCGTAAATTTTCTTTTGTGACACCCTGTACTTTCGCTCTTTATATTTCTTAATTTTTTGCAGGTTATTTTTTCTTTGTTCGCGGGCGCGAAAGAAGTCTAATAATAATTTAAACGATATTTTTATAGACAATTTTGTCAAATTAAACTTGCAAATACTGCCAATCATTCAGTGTGTTGTAATTAAGAAACTCCGTTTGAGTCAACCATTTACTTACTCAGACATCCAAGCACAAGACTATACATACAAGGCCAAAAGCATTGCGTTCCAATCGTCATAAACACATCGTCCTCGTCATTTTCAAATCAGTCCCAGCTCGCGCAACAACACAACAGTACAACGGTGCGCCCTTTTTAGTAGCAGCGCCGATTACAATCAAATGCATGGCATGCGGGATCAATGCAGGAAAACGAAGCGCGTGGTGATACGACACCGCGAATATAAGTTATGCTCTGACACAACACAGTGTAGTGCAGATTAAATTGCAGATCAGGGGGGTTTCAGGGTTGCCCGATGCATGACGTGACTGTGCCCGTGAGTTCCCTGGTCGTAAACGGTTGAAAGTTTGGTTGCAACGCAGTCAGCGTCGTGAACCCTGTAGGGTTCTCGTCCGATTCCCCGGGCCCCTGTCTCCGGATGAACCTGACACAGCAAACGCATAGCTCTCAGCAGAACTGGTTTATTCTACTCGCATTCTGCTGGGGGATTTCGGGATGGGGACAGGTGATCGAGAAAGCCTGGAGGGAGCACGCCGCCACTGTTTGTTGCATCCCGATCATCCGCGCGGTGCTAGTCCACACCGCATACTGGAGACGTCGCCGTCGAGTGTCGAATCCGGGGTCTAAGTCCGGACCATGTCACCGGGCCGTCGCCCGAACCGACGTCGCGGTCGCCACCCAGCGCGAACGTCCGTCGAGGCCCGTTTCCCGCGCAAGAGTTTTTCTGAAATCTCCCGTCGCCCAGCTTTCCTCGTTGTTCCCCCCGTCAGCGTGCATCAGACAGGCTGGAGCCTCCTGTCTTCCATCGTGGGCGGTCTCTCGCTGGAGCTCCCCGTCTCGCTCTGCCGCAGCATGTGCAGGGCCTCGGGCGCCGACGCTGTCCGGGAGGGGGGTCCTAGGATATGTCCACCGCCGACACCGCCAACGTCTTCAAGAAGGGTCCCGAGGGAGGAGGCACTCAGGCACCAAGCTTCAAAGGCGCCGTCTTCGCCACGGCGGCATCCGAAAGGGAGTCCCCAGGCGCCGGCGTCCGGCTGTCAACCAGATGGGGGCTGACGGGACCCCACACCATCCCTCCTCAGACCGAGGGCCGGGGGTCATGAAGGTCACACGTTGAGGTGGCGCAGATGACCCAAATACCGCACGGGAGCTCACTGTCGCCGATAATGGCGACCACCATTGATGATCGCGGAGAGGGTGCCAAACGAGGCAAGCCCACGGGGACCGTTCATTCGCCGAGAAGCTCGACCAAGAAGCGCACAGTCCAGCAGCGGGCACAGAGCACCATCGCTCACAGCGCACCGGCGCTAAGTCGCACACAATACACCAAAATTGAAAGTTCCTTTCACCCCAGTGGTCCAGACAGGAAAACAAACGCCAACAAATCGCGGCACTGAATATCGTACTGCGTGACGAAACCAAATCTTCAGCTCAGTGGACATGCCACAAGATACAAGCGAAGCTCTTCGTTCTTAAACTATAAAGCATACTCTCATCAAGGTCGTCAGGCTACATGTTCAAAAGACGTACCCAAAAATAAAGCTATTAATCAAGTCAGGAAGCATGCAAGAACACTAAACTATTGTCGAAATGTGTGGCCATTAGACAAGCATTCTTCTTATACGAGACAACCCAATCGCTCTCTACTAAAATGCTACATAATATTCGAGAGCGCTAGAGAATCGCTTCTCCGACAACAGAATTCGCCTTCCTCACAGCTAAAATCACTTGTGATTAAAACACAAAACATCAACACAACAGATTACCGTCTGCTTATGGCGTCTGCTTACGCCATAAGCAAGCCGCGACTACGCTACGCAGGATACCGGCATCGGTTTGGAAAACCACTACCCCGAGAGGCCCGTGTCCCGCGGTACCGGCCACTGAGGCCAGCACAAGGGGACAACGTTTTGATACGCCGGATGGTGCGCCCAGCAAGTCTATTGGACGTCCTTCTGACAAGGCTTTGTCCGCAACGTCTGGCTGTGTACCAGAGGTTGCCGCGTCACTGATCGGGGATAATCTGCAGACGAGAGCGATGAGCGTGCAACGGGGGTACGCACCGAAGTGTAGTGGAGTAACCACTGCGAGTCCTGGCCCCTGCACAAGCTCAAAAGTTGCGATCAACGCATTGATGCACATTCAAATTGTCCCCCAGCCAAACCACAACACCGCATGACTGAAAAGTCTTCTTGCGACTTTCAAGGTCGGCCAGGATCGATCAGTGGAGGTACTTCATCTGCGCGTCTTGAAACTCTTCTATCCTCAATTCAAGCAACGAGCCCTTGGATGAACGCAGCAGAATAGGCACAAAGCCCGCCCCAGACCAAGTCAAAACACAGCATAACTAAAAAGTCTTCTTGCAACTCAAAAGACTGGCCGTGTTCGAACAATGTAAGCACCCCGCACGCGCCTCTCCTCTTCCGCGCTACAAGCGCGACACCAAAGCGCCGTATAATCTAACCGAACGATCTTGGAAATGGACGAGTTAATAAACTATATTGGTCTTGCATAAACCGTTTCCGCAGCGTTGAAGTGTTTACCGCATTTACCGCTGGATTCCAACACCCGCTGCTCATTCATGCAAAGGCTGCTTAATTTGTACAGCGACGGGCTGACCTAGCGCACAACAGTTATAAGCCGCTGACGGCCACGTCGCTTCCATGATTTCTAGGCTTCCCGGGCACCCGCCGACGTGAACCGTACGTTTTCCCGTGCCTCCCGCGCAGCTGTACAGGATAAAACTATGAACAACTCGTCCCATTATCGCAAGACCGCCACCTCCCCCGTGAGGCTTTTCGCTACATGAGAACGGCTCCTTCCCCACCTAGCCATCTTTCCCCCCTAAAGGCCCGTTCACATTCTTGCAACCGAGTACGACCGAGAGAAACCAGACCGGTTTTTAAGCTTCTTGCGACCTCTTAGGACCGGATGCGCTACAGCGGAGCTGGTCCTACGAGATCGCAAGAGGCTTAAAGACCGGTCTGGTCTCCCTCGGTCGTACTGGGTTGCAAGAGTGTGAACGGATATTAAAGCGCCGTTCACACTTTTGCGACCGGGTAAGACCGAGAGAGACCAGACCGGTTTTTAAGCCTCTTGCGACTTCTTAGGACCGGATGCGCTGCAGCGGAGCTGGTCCTAAGAGATCGCAAGAGGCTTAAAAACTGGTCTGGTCTCTCTCGGTCTGACTCAGTTGCAAGAGTGTGAACGGGCCTTAACCCTAAAGGCCCGATCACACTCTTGCAACCTCTTAAACCTGGGCTCCTTAAAACTTCTTAAACCAGAAAACACACTGGCGCCATCTATTGGGAAGCAGTGTAAACTCGGCGGTCCGGCATATTTTTTTTTATATCTCTCGCATTATCCTTTCTTTCTTGGCTCGAAAAACTTTTGTCAATGTTATAAACGAGCCTTTCTATGGGTATTACGCACATTTGACCTCGGAAATCCCGCAAAACCTTCGCTCTTGTAAAATGCAGTTCCAGGGTCACCGCATAGATGGCGCCAGAATGCCAGTGTGTTCCCTCATTCTAAAAACATTTAAGAAGTTTTAAGAGATCTCGTCTCTTTCAGTCGTACTCGGTCGCAAGAGTGTGAACGGGCCTTAACCCGTTATCCCTCCGCACGCCCTCGCATCCCAACGCGTACACAAACACGGCGGAGAACCGGTACCATGCCCAGCGGCAACGCAGGGCACGCACTTTCCCGCCCCTTCTCCGGGCATGGGGACAACTCGAGAGTAATCTCCGCCCGAAGCGCAAACTCCGATATGGCGGTGTGAGGGTCCGGCAAAAACTGCACGCAATTAAGCGGGATCACCCTCATGACTCCACAGCCAGGGACGAACAGAACATGACAATCACGTCAACTTGGACCCCACGGAACATTACACACAGCCACTGATAAGGTGGGCACGGAAACTCGGTGGTTCTCAGAATTCCGATGCATTCACACCAGGCATCGCGTATCCGGCAACACTTGGGGGGATTAGTCCCGAGGTGTCACCTCTGACCGCAAAGTCTTGCATCAGTGCGGTCGAAACCACAAGAGCGAATATTGTGCCCAAATGCTGTGGACGCACGGAACTGAAAATCGCGCCGACAGATCAAACAAGGCGTGCTCCCGGACGAGTGGAAAACCTCGGTGGTCACACCAATCTCAAAGCCTGGGAAGCCTGCTACGGATCCCAAGAACGTACGACCGATCTCTTCGACGTCCATTATAGGAAAACTCATGGAAAGAATGGTGTTGGCAAGAATCCAGTAGAACGCCAGCAGGGCAAGGGGATCCTTCACCCCACGCAGACTGGGTTCCGCGCCAATCTCAGCTCGCATGACAGCCTCGCAATGATCTATCACGACGTTGTCGATCTGCCGAGGACTAAACGGAACCTCCGAGTCATCGTGTCAATTGACATTAAGAAGGCTTTTGACAGTGTCCCCCACGCATCTGTCATCAATAAGATGGAGGAGCAGGGGCTCACTGGCAAACAGTTGGACTTCGTGAAGCCTTCCTCACCGACCGCAAGTACCGAGTCAAGGCTAGGTACGGAAAGGAAGCGCGCGAAGGTGCCACCAAGGAGAACAACATTGGAGTCCCACAGGGAGCTGTGCTGTCGCCAACACTTTTGAACATCGTCATGGCGCCCCTGCTCTGGAGACTCCATAAGATTCAACTGCTGAACGCAACGGCATATGCCGACGACGTCACGTTATGGACCCATGAAGGTACGCCGGACAACCAGAAGGCCGCCCTGCAAGAAGGACTGGACACCATTGCTGATTTTCTTAAGGAAGTGGGCATGTTCCCTTCGCCAGAGAAGACAAAGTACACTGTCTTCGGAAAAGGTCGGGAACAAACAGACGTCGCGCTCACGTTCGCTGGAGACCCGATAGCAAAGGAAGACTCTATTAAAGTCCTCAGGGACAACTTCAACTAGGCTATCTACAACACTACCAAATGGCTCACCGAGATCAGGCACAAGTGGAAGCAAGGCCTCAACTTAGTGAGGGGAATCTCCCATAGGCTCGGCGGTGCTGGGGAGAAAACGGCACGGAAACTAGTGACGGCCACGTTGGTCTCGAAAGTCACGTATGCGGCACGATTCTACAAGCTAACAAAGGGCCACAAAAAACAATTCAAGGCCATGCTCAATGACGCGCGACGCGCCATTCTAGGGCTACCGAGAAACACAAAGAAAGAAGAGCTTCACAAATGCGTCTATTTGCCAGAAATTGAAGACGCACAGATGGCGTGGCTGCATCACACAGAAGAAGGCAGGGCGATCGCTAAGTTCATGGACATCACTCTCCCTGAGCTCCCTCCCCTCCCCCAAGCTAGGCCACCATGGGAGATGGTCTGCATCACTCACGGTACGAAGCCCATACCCAGAAGAATACACCCGGAGAAGAACAAAGAGAGACGTTAAGAATCTGTAAAACAACACATAGCTGAGGTCAAGACGGTTAAGTCGGACGACAACAACACCATAGCGTACGTCGACGGGGCGGCGGGCCCTCGGGGTCGGACAGCGGCAGCGGTATTCTACCAAGGCAGCGGTGACCAGCCCTTCGACGTCATAGCGGGTTCGGGCCGCGACGCCATGAACACGCCAGACTTAGTGGAAGAAAGGGCCATCCTAATGGCACTAGTCAACTACGAGGGTATCCCCAACAAGAGAAGAAACCTTATAGTTTACACAGACTCGCAAGAGGCGGTCAAAAACTTGACTAAACACAAGGCAACCTCTGGTCCCACTATCGATCTCATCTTTCAAACGGCGCTGAGACTCCTCCGGAATCACGGTACGAGAATCAGCATTCGCTGGATCCCGGGACATGAAGAAATCCCCGGCAACATGGTGGCTCACGCAGCGGCACAGCACGGGATGAGAATTTCATCACTGCCGTCCCGGCTAGCGCCTGACTGCGATGATACCCCACAACTAGCCCAGAAACACGAAGAGGAGCCCTACGATCCCACGGCACTCCGGAGAGCCCGGAGGGCGCGCAAGAAAGCATTACAAGAAACCTCGGAACCGGAGGTGTCCCCATCCTAGACAAGGTTTTTAAGAGAAGGGAGATGGTGCTGCTTCGGCGTATTCGCACTGGGGGTGCGGTCACTCCAAGATCCAATACCACATTACCCTCTCCCAGTTACGTAAGACACAGCCTTATGCGGTCCCTCCGGACCCGAGGTGCCAAAGATACAAAGATCCCGAGGCCCTTCCCAACCTGGAACACATCCTATGGGAATGCAAGGCCCTCGATTCGCCCAGGACAGAAGCCATCGAGAAGCTCCCAGCAGACCATCGGCCACAAAACTTAACGGACTGGACGTATCTCTTGGGCGACTCCCAACGACGGACGGAGGTTCTCCGGTCTCTCTTGGACTTCGTGTCCAAGGGAGAGTTGGCGTCCTCTCTTTAAGCTTCCTCCATATGTTCCATCACACCATCACCTCTTACCTCATAATCATACAAGAATGAAGTTGCCAACTTCATGAACCACCGCAATGCGAAGATTTCCCTTTCGAGTGAAAGGCAACCCTCCGCAATTCTTGATTTCAATAAACGTGATAATGCTTCACAGCGCACAAGATCAGACACACTGTGAAGCATTATCATGAATTACCAACTCGCCCAAGCTGAAGTTCTGATCAATAAACGTATTCTGATCTGATCTGATTTGGCCACTTGAGTGGCCGTGAACTAGAGGAGGAGTAGTGAGCTCAGCGAGCGCTCACGGCTGCCACACTTCGTGTCGACAGCTCAAGAGGGCGCCACTAAAGCATATTCTGGATAGGCTGTATCAAGCGTGCAGCCAGGGCGGCTCGCATTGCATTTGCTGCGTGAGTAAACAATAATTCGGCATGATACTTCATTAGCCACAAACGACAGCAAACATGGGGTAAAGATCAGCTCAGAACGGGAGCCACCTCGCGCTGCCATGCCGCGAAACGGCCAAACAGCAAGCCAAACCTCCGCCGAAGGCCTTCGGAACGCTCGGAACCGGTCGGATCCTTGAGTCCGGAAATGACCGCAGCGCCGCCGCGTACATCCGGGACCTTTCTACGCTCGCCGCTTGTCGGAGCCTGATCCCACTATTCCATTCTAGTATGCGGCGCCTTTTTTACCGCTTGGTGGCGGGTATGTCGACGGGTCATTTCTGGTTTCCGCGCTTTATAAACTGCATTTGTTTCTTTTCTTATCTAAAATACTGAACAAAAACTATTTTCATAACTAATTGAAACGGTTCGCGCAACTTATATTATACATTTCGACTAAACTGAAGCTTTCAGCGGCTTTGATCAGTAGTGAGACCAGGACCAAATACGTCACATTTCGCGCGCTTTGGCACCGTGGGTCGCCCCCGTCGGTGGAGGAGGTATCCGCGACTTCTGGTTAGAATCTGACGCACTGATATTTAGTTACTCTCTCCGTGCCCGCTGGCTTGCCCGAACCCAAGAGACGTGGAAACCGCAAAAAAGGTAGACGCTTAAATATGATTGCAGGGCCCCTTTAAGAGAATGACACGCGCCAGCCAATGGGAGCATATCCATCAAATCGCTGCTACAGACTACAAACTACAGGCTTCGCTCATTGGGGCAGGGGAATTTAGGTGCCGTTTTGCGCAGCTTCAAAAGTTGACAACGCCTGTTAATTCGCTCCATAGGACAGTTAATGCTTTCGTATTAAAACTTGTGAAGTGCCGCTCCAGATGTTCACAGAGCAACGCCCTTTGGCATAACGTGATACGAAGGCCCCTTCCTTCGACTGCTGCGCGCGCATCACTGTGCGGCCATTTTATGCCACAAAATCAACCTCGGACCTTTTTGATACCACCCCGTATGTATACGATTCAAACCTTTTCCTGAAATAATAAAGCCGGTAATTTGTTAGGGTGCACTTTTCATATTAACTTTTAAATGTGAATTTGGCACCAGGGTCGGGTTTTATACCAGGTGCCGCCAATCTAGAGGAAAACTTTTTTTTTATTTACTGAAATTTGCTCCAGCGGATGGTACATCGGGTACGGACGAAGTAAATACGACACCAACGTTATTCGCCATAATTTGCGTTAGCCATCGATAAGCGATTCAATATTAGAGTTTTAGTAAATCGTTCCGGTACCTCCGATGATGATACAATGCATGTGAAAAGGAGTTCGGGTTAGGAAAAGGGTATCGTTATCGGAGTCGTGAGAACGATCTGCTAAAGCTCTCTATAATAGGAAAGTCAAAACCGGTCTCTCCTCACCGTCGGCGTCTGAGAGACACAGTTGTGGAGGTCTTCCAGCGACCGCAGCAGTACTGTATCCAGGTCCAGATAGACGCCTCCGTACTTGTAGACCACCGCCAGTCGCAGAACGTCGGCCAGATGAACCGCACGGTAAGGACTCGAACGCATGGCGACCGAGAAATTCCAAGAACTGAGCGGTGTCCCTTCTAAAACTTCAGATGGCTGAAACAAAGATTAGATGGCCTCAAATAAAGCATTTGCTTGGTGACCAAGTCGTAGTCTTCTAGATGGTATGGGTCCTCTCCTTAACGTTATCAAACAGCTTTGGCGGTTTCTTTTTTCCTTTTTTTTTTTAAAGGGGAGGGGGGGGGTGCATAAAGTGTGTGCTTGGATCGGCGTTGAAGAGCCGCACTTCTGGAGTTGGAATTCTTCCAGAATCATTCCGCACTTGGGCAACCCCGGAATGCAATGAAAATTGAATTAGATGCCTTTTGTCCGGAATTTAATGGGAATATAGTGGCTCAATTCTTATGCAAGCTGTGTCGATCCTCAGCTAGGCGGGCTGCTGGCGCAATGCTAGCAGATGGACAAAGTGGCTTTTGAAACAGCATCATTGCATTGAAGGGGACTGACGGTTTGATTGTCTCACCTTCACATGCTTCTTCGAAGATGGAAGAGGCGCACCCCCAGTGAAGCAACCAAATGAGTATATAATTTAGACAAACAAAACGTCATTTCTGGTACCGCACGACCCTACAAAGCTGCTGTTGTAACCATGTACTACAACTAGCATGTAGCCTTTAAGCAATCAGATCTCCTAATATTTGCGTAGAAAACAAATAAATAAGTGGACCGAACATAATAAGAAATCGCAAGAATCGCACGCCAAACACAAAAGTACGCCTTTTAAGGCAGGTTCCATAATATCGGTCCCTCGTGTCACAGTAACAATTGCACTTTATAGTCCATTTTGTGTGCTTGCGACAGTGCCTAGAGATTTTGGGCAGGTATACCTGTGTACGCAGCATCGCTTCTGACAGCGTACTAGCGGATGCTGTTGTGCAGGTATTCGAAGCAGAAAGTAAGGCAGCTTCTTCATGCATCACACATAAACTAGACATTTTTAAAGCCTCATTAAACAAGAAACATCCCGACCATGTATCTTTGGAAGTTATACGGTTTGTTTGCGAGGATAGTGGGTGGCGTTAAATTCTTGCGTGTTGCGAGCTTTTAACGTTTGATCGCGCGATCGATGTCTGTGGTAACACCAAGTGCTACGAAGCGCCTTTTGCAACCACCATTCGGCTTAGGAGAGTCAGTGCTTTGCCAAAGCATTTTTCATACTTTTGCGGGTGCCTCTGCGTTTCAGACTTTCAGCTCTATGCTGATTTGTTCCTGTAACACAACACAGCTACCAAGAAAAATCTTTTCACTTCAGGAAATATTTAAATAATAAAATGAGTGGGAATGGGCCCGTTATCTTCATTTCTGTACTCTGAGAAAAAAACTTGTAAAATGTTCGTAACTGCAGCTGTTAGTACCTTTTTGGACCGCAACTACCTTCTTACTATAGCTGTTTACTACATGAAACGCGCGATAAGTAGTAAAACTTTTGTAACTAAAGCAATTACGACCTCTTTCTGACCATTATTACAGTTTACTAGATATTTATTACCTCAAACAAGCCACAGGTAGCAACTGCAGCTGCTATGCGGGGGGCGAGAACATGGTTTCTGGGAATTTACGAGAACACTCAGTTTTGGTCACAAATAATTGCTGTGTGTGCCGCCACTTCTTTGTAAAAGATACATCACTTGGAATATTTAGCCACAATCTTGTAGAACAATAGTCGTGCGAAAGCAACACCAAATTCGTAACATCACTTCCAGACGAGTACCAACCGAATAATTTTAAATGATCTGTAGAAAAGTCGCATGGGTAGCCGTTGGCGGCTGTGACTGGGTTAGCGTGTCGTCGTGTGAGTGTTGTGCGTGCGTCTTCCGATTTCTTGCCGATGTTAAATGTATATTACGCGCCCATGTGTGCATTTAAGCAGCGTGGAAATAAAATTTATAAGCAATAATCGTTCTTCGTTTCTTGAATTTTTGAATTTGACGTTAACTAGCGCCACCTATGTTCGAAATTTTGAGAGCGACTTTTGTTACCGAGCATCTTTAATAATTCCTTCGTTATTACGGTGTACATAGACAAAGGTGAAAGAGTCTTACCCCTTTTCGCCAGGAGGAAGGTAATTTCCTTTATAAGGGTAAAAACAGGCGCTCTTAGAGGTAGTAGTGGTTATTTGGTTTTGTGAAATTTAGTGCCAGCTACTGGATGAAGGTAGAGACAGATACTAGGTTCTATTGATGAAGTTAGTGAGTGTTACTAGCTTCTTGAGTTAGTAATGTTACTAACTTAGCCGATACTAACAGCAGTTACTAAGTGCCTAGTGAACGCTGTGACAAGCAGTTAGTAAACTTTTAGTAAGTATACCACGAACTTTTTGTTTCTAAAAGTGTGTGAGCTAAAAGGAATGGAATTGTCAGGAACTCTCTCGGAATGGAGTTCAAATGAAAGGGGTTGCCCATACCGCGACACATGGTAGGATCCAAGTTTTCGTTGAGACCTGAAGCAGCACACGTTTCCGTTACAAGCTCAGTCGAGCTCAGGCCGAACTCTGACGTTGCGCTCTTGTCCAATACATGCTCATAGTATGTGTACAAACAATGGCGAGCTCGGATCATTGCCGCAGCAGTAACTAGGTGGCGCGCACACGTGAGAATGGTCTATTAGGAAGCCTTACATGAGCAAGAAAAAGTCAAGTGATAGGGGAAAAAAAACAAAATTTCGGAACATCCCTTGTTGCAGAGTTAGTTTGATAGCATCGATACAATCTGATATAATTAACCTGAAGTAAAAACAAAAAAAAATCATAAACTCAGAAATTAAGCTCTCATACTTTGTCACCTTCCGTCGTATGGGTGCCTCCATATTGGAATCGCGTGACGCGGTCGCTATTCGCTGACTTGAGCTCTTTTCTTCGCTCGCCCGTCGCGCCTTGGCAAATGAGTTGCGTCCGTGTTTTCGCCGCCTTTCACCGCGTTTCTATTTTGACTCTCTACAATGTCATCCGATGCTTTTCGATACCACACAATTTTTGTTTAACTACTATGTGCATAAAGTTTAAAGTTAACTTTGTAAAAGGTTTCACGCATTTTGAAAGTTAGCGTGGCCTGCACGTGTAACACTGAACATGAATCAGCGTTAGCACTGAGGCACGTTCGGTACATAGATGACCCTAAGAGAGCAAAAGAGTTCAAAAACCACTTATGCTAACGTAGGATTCTTCAATGACAGTATCGGAAAATTCCCAATAAAGAGTGCAATGTGCATTTGTGACCGCCCATAAACCACATGGAAAAAGCATGCATGGCATATCCCTTCCGCTCTCTATATTTTATACAAACCATCAGTGCTCGAAAATAGTTTGTCCGTACATATTGGGGTGTCGGCGTTGCCTGTTTGCATGGCATAAACACACGCGACCAAAACGCTATATTTCTGTATTGGGTCCTTCGGGAAATTTGTAGCAAGACAGAGGTGGGCCGCGACACGCATACACTATATAATAATATTAATACTTTATTTCCTCTCCAGGGAGCGGAGGGACAAGGACAAAAAGCTTTCTTCAGCAACTTGACGAGATTTTGCTCCGATACAAGCGGCAGAGAGAGCAGCGATGACATGTTTTATGATAACTCATTAAAAAAATGAAGTAACAAATACAAATTTACACACATACAATGAAAATGAAGCAGTGGTCAACCAAAAAAACGTGTGGGTTAAGATTTGTTAGTCAGAGCCAGTGAACATCATAAACAGGGAGATTATGTGGGACTTGGTGACAACTTCGGGCATGACGTGGTATTGAATCAATTCGTTTAGTAAGTGAGGGAGATTGTGGCTCGTTGATTGATGTTGTATGAGATGTAGACACAAACCATGGTTCTGCATGTCGTGTATTATGACTTGTGAGATGCGTGTTTAGATTTTAAAAAATGCATTATAAAGGTGCGAGTTGGACAGATCTGTAAAGGCATGTGAGTCTGAGTTTGTAAAGGAAAGATATATTTAGGATGTTTACCTGCTGAAAATAATTAGCAGTGCTCTCCTTCCACGCGAGATTTTCTATTATTCTAATATTGATTTTTTCTGTGCACGAAGGAGGTTAAGTACGTTATTTTTTGTACAGGGTGTCACAAAAGAAAATTTACACGGTCTTTTTTACCACAAAAATAAACCAGGCATCGCCGAACGCTCATTCTCCGCCCAAAGGTAGAGCTAGAGGTCACAACCAGATGCCAAAGTTTCAGCCCGATCCGATAACTTAATCAAAAGTTATAAGAGATTTTCTGAAAAGTTCAATGGGAAAATGGAGCCCATTTTTGCCTGTTTTCGGTTTCTGGTGCCATAGAGCCCCATGTGTTTGAAAACTCCGTCGGCCGCCATTTTCCCATTGAAATTTTCAGAAAACATTACTTGTAACTTTGGATTAAGTTATCGGATCGGGCTGAAACTGTGGCACCTGGTTGTGACCTCTAGCTCTACCTTTGGGCGGAGAATGAGCGTTCGGTGATGCCTAGTTTATTTTTGCGGTAATAAAGACCGTGTAAATTTTCTTTTGTGACACCCTGTAGATGTACCCCATATGGGATGACAATATGTTAGGTGAGGAACAACAAGAGCATTGTATAACATTTATTTTAATATTGCAAGGTAGGCTGTATCCACGTTTATTTATCAGCCCATTTACTCTATTTATTTTTGTACGGATGTGATTAATATATGAATGTACCATGTGAGGTGTTCGGTAAAATAAACAGCCAGAGATTTTATTTCACTTACAACTTCTATTTTCTGGTTGTCTAGATGAAAATATGTTGGCATAAAAATCAATTTATTTCTGGGTCTAAGGAAAATCGCTTTAGTATTATTAGGGTTTATTGGCAGACAATTTGCGTCCATGTATCTTTGCGAATTTCTAAAAAAGCTATTTGCTTCTGAAACCATATCAGTCGGGTCAGTACCAGCAATAAGTAAAGTCATATCATCGACATGGGCTATTATTTTTGTTGATGTCATTATGTTAAAAACGTCATTAATGTAAAGTATAAAGACAAGAGGGCCTAATATGCTGCCCTGGGGTGCACCTGTTGTAATAGTACCAAGTGGAAAAAAGAAGAGTTTATACAAACTCATTGAGACCAATGCTGCAAATAAGCTTGAATTAATAATGCTGCGCCTCCTCTAAGACCATAAGCGTGAAGTTTAAGGTGAAGTATATTACAGTTTATGTGGTCAAGCGCCTTAGTGAGGTCAATAAATATACCAAGTACGATTTTTTTTGTCTTAACTGCTTCAACATTTGAGACAAATGTAAAATGACTACTATGTGGCATTTTACCCCTTTCGGCTAGCACCGGACTGGATGAGCTCCTATTGGCACCAACGGTATTTCCATTTTGCATACTGGACATTTTATTTGATTGTGCGCCTCACAACCAGAGTAACCTGAACGTACAATTACGGTGAGGAAATGAGGGAGGGGAAAGGATGACAGCGTGCAGTGACGTCAGAGCGCACAGCCCTGATTAGACAGATAGTGGGTAGACGCAGAGGCTTGCTGCCTTTGGTTCTACCCACCGTTCCCCTGCAATCAGAGCGAATAAGAGCGACGTCTGCTGCTTGCACATTGCCTGACATTCGAGCGCCGTATACGGGCATGTCTGCCTTCTGGTATCTTGTATCCCGTGGCGATCTGTCAGGTACAGGCCGTCCGAACACAAAGCTGTGAGCACCCCTTGGTTTTCTTGCTCGTGGTTCTGTTCTGTATTAACGACATGCAAATTCGAGACGTCAATCATTTGATTTTAACAACACTCACTTTGATTCTACGGATGTTCACGTTGGTTATTCCTCTGAGCAGGTCAAAAAAGGGGCTGGGACTTCGCGGCTTCTCCGAGTTCTCTGCGGTCAGAAGGCTGACTGTCCACTCCGTGTGGTGCAACGCCGCAGACTCGACCGCGCAGGACATCCTCCCGGCCAGGTTGCCTCGTCCGCTCGTCTCCAGAAAGAAGATGTTCCGTGGCTGGCTCTTTCTTGGGTCAGTTGTCTCAAGCAATACGATGTCGCCGCCATAACCTGCACGCAAGTGAAGCCATGCTCACTACAACTATTGAGCCTGGAATGCGCCTCCGACTGGAGTGCTTACAGTCCCCTAAAAAGGAATTCCTCGATTTCCGCCCAATGGCACCATAAAAGCGCCATGTTGTAAAGGTCCTTGATGAAATTAAAATTACGTTGTGTATATATCTAGACAGCCGGAAGTTAGTCCGCTTCAGTTGGTGTCTGGTATCTCAGCTGTAGATGAGAAATTTAGCCGGTGCACAACCCTGTAGCCTGGAGTCTTTAACGTGCATTACACACTGGTGATACACGACCGCAGGCATGGAAAATGCTCATCCAGATCGAAAGGTGCAAAGGTGTAGATTAAACCCGGGATTCCTGTATTCTTCAGCAGGAGCGTTCACTCCACGCGCTCCGAGATGCAGTGCGTTAGCAGACTCGGCAACCCGGCCATAGAGACCTGACCCCTTCATGGCACGCGCCCCCATTCGACAGAAATAGCAAAGCTCTGACCTGACAGACAGGATCGCAACATCCGATGGCATGACAGTTCGGCTCTTGTGACGTCATTCGTTGTCGCTTCGGGACCACATTCAATGCGGGGCCGAAATAGAAGCTTTTCCCGCGCGCCGGATAACAGACCTTCTACTGCCTCGCCGAGCAAAACAGGCTAACAAAATTAGACGGGAAAAATCGATACCAAGCCGGTCTTGGGAACAAGAACATTGCGGTGTAAACATTGAGGTGAGTTATGGCGGCGTTCATGCACAGCTGCCGAAAACCGTCAATGGGATTGCCATAGGATGCTATGACGGAACATCACTAGGAAGACGAAGGGAAGTCGGGGAAAGTCACCTTCCTTCTCTTCGTCTTCTATTGGCGTTCTGTCGTTGTTGAAGCGCAAGTGCCACTCAAAACACCTTGGACGACTCACTGCTTTTTTTTTTTTTTTTTTGCTACGAACTTGCCTAATTATTTTATAGGTATGCGCGTCAGACTTTCGAGTTTGATGCAAACTTGAAGATCGCTCTTGCTCTGGTTTGCAGTTTATGCCAAATTCGCCATTTTGCACCCGGACATAGTCTCAAAACAAACTGGTGTAGTGCAGCTCCAAACGTTCACAGAACAATGCCATTTGACATAAAAACACGTGGAAATCCTTACCTTTGACTGATTCGCGCGCATCGAATTGGTGCTTTCTTTCTTTACGGAAAATGTGCCCCGGAACTTTTCTATCGTAGCTGGTATCAAGTGGAAAAAGTGGGGCTAAGTTTTCGATGTCTACGTTCTTTATCTTTTAAAAAAAAAAGTAAGAGAAGATCTCCCAAGGTGTTTTCTTTTTTCAATATAATTCAAGGTATTTCATCAGTTGAGACCGATCGTTGATTTTCCTGCGCTCCTCTGAATCAGAAGAGTTTTCAATACCATGTATTGCAGAGAGGGAGGGGGAAGATAGCATCATTCCTCAAGAAGCCGAACTTTTGCTACTGCATTTGTTGAGGAGAATACGAGTATAGAAAGACCAAACAAAAATGTGCGCAAGGTAGGACAGTATAGTCATATTTATCCCCGAATAAACGCGTTAAAAAGCGAGGAATTGCCAACAATGACAAATACTGGAGGGGGCTATGCTGCTTTATAGAAAACGACTAATTAAGAGTAACAAGAAAAATAGCGTGCTATTTTCCAGTAGCGGGTAACGAACATAGTTACTTTATGAGTAACGAGTAACGCCGTTTAGTGACTCTATTTCAGTAACGTGTACACGTCTGCTCCGAAGCAAAAGTGCTTAGGATTCCAAAGATAGCGGGTTCGATTCCCGGTCCAGCTGCGCGTAATCTGATGGACGAGTGGAGAAAGCGTCGTGCAACAGTGATTTTTCGTCGAACGTCAATACATTCACAGTGGTCGAAATTAATCCTCGATCCTCTACCGGGATGTGAGAATGCCCTTGATTGGTTTGGCACGTAAAACTCTCCAAATTCGGCTTTTTTTTTTAGGTGTTTTACTGGTGACATAAAAACGCGACATACAATGTTGTGATGTAAGAGCAGTAGAGCATGTTTCCAACAGGTTACAAGAACTTTGATGGTGTAAAATGAATTCTGGGGAAATTCACGCTTGCAAAACTATAGATATGCGGAAAATACCAATCTTTTTTTTTGTTTTACACTGCAAGCTGATTGCAAGCTACAATGAGTGATGTCACCCACTTGAGAACGCTGGATAATTTCAAAGCTAGTTTTGGCATAACCTCTATTTGCCGTATACTCAAAAGAAATTTTTAATTTCTAGAAATATTAAATTTTATGCACGGAAGAGTAAATTTCGATATTAAAATTATTGACATCTGTGACTGAATACATTTATAGCTACGATGGAATCACTGCTTAGATGGTTACGCAAATTGGTTTTGTATCCAATTTGGGGGGGGGGGGGGGGGTTACAGAGAACGACACTCTTGACGAGATCAAGTTTTATCGCGTATAAATGAGGATGCTAAAAAAAAAAAGAACGTGTATCGCGTGAGCCACAGCACGGCATATCAAAGAATAAGCCATGTTTGTATCGATACACCCAGGCAATGAAGCGTAAAATCAAATGTTTACTAACTAAATTTTCTAGCCATCGAAGTTCACTTCGCTGCGGGCTTGCTGCTATAAAAAAAAAAAACCACCAGTAAAGTTGACTAAGAAAGAAAAAAAAGTTGCCAGAAAAAAATTTCTAGATTCTTTTTTTTTAAGTTGCTTATGTTGAATACGCTTTTGCAATATCCGTGGTTTGCTCTTTTCGGCGTGCTATTTATTATTTTTTTTTTAATTCGGAAAGCTATTGATAAAACGGAAAATAAAGTTGACACCAAAACCCACATTCAAATTTTCCCACGTACTCCAGTGAGGTTACGACTCATGATGTGTAAGTTGTATAACGTAATACAACATGTAATAGGCTCGACCGCCTTGCCCCTACTCATTGAACGGAATCTGATATATTAAAAAAAAAAAAAGATAACTTTACTCACGATAATTGGGGTGGACCCGACCAGAGTGTAGAGCGAACAGGACCAGACACCCGATGACGACGGCAGAGGCTATCCGTTGAATGGGTCCCTTGAATCGATGAACCAAAGGGCCGAAGGAAAAGAAAACGAGGGGTCTTTTACCTTGAATATTCATTCCGAGCACGCTTCGCTGCGAACGACACACACACGAGCAACAGATTGGAACGGCCTCACTCCTAGCATAGCTCGAACAGAGGCGAGTCGGAAAGTTACGGCTCTGCTTGCGCACTACGGTATGTATGCACTCACACGTGGGGCAGGTGTTTGCTCGCCGCGTGCTCCGTTCCATGACGCCCCGCCACACAACATTCCTTTCCTGTCGATGTGCAAATACTGGGGTCATCTCGCGGCAATTGCGACGACTCAGTAATAGCGAGCAGTTCGTCTTACACAAACAGAGAAAAAAAAACGCATCTCCACGTGGTGAATGATGTATATTGGGGCGAAGCTCTGGTGGTGCTTGTCTGCGTAGACGCTGAGCCGCAGCATGCCAAGCCTTTCGTTCGTTTTCATTTATGTCACGCTGCGGTCAAATGCTCGAATGCGTATATAACCACGTTCCACACCACACATTCTCTTTCTGACATGGATGAAAACGAACGAAAGGCTCGGCATGCTGCGGCTCACAGTCTACGCAGACAAGCACCACCAGAGCTTCGCCCCAATCAAAATCATTCACCACGTGGAGATGCGGTTGTTTCTTTTTTCCCCCTACACGAGCACAGGAGCACGTGCTCACGTGCTCGTGAGCACGTGAGCGCGTGCTCGTGAGCACGTGAGCGCGTGAGCTCACGAGCAGGAGCACGTGCACCCGACGGCGGACGAACATACGGACATGGCTAGCCCCTAAGGAGCTTCGCCCCTAAAATAGCATTGTTTTTTCTCGATTATTATGCACGGGGTAAACTATTTTTTGCAGCATCGTCCAGGCCAGCGTGACGTCTCAGCCCCAAACTGCTGTCAATATAGCTGACTTTGTCATGCGTCTCGTTCGCACGCGCAAGCGCAACTAGATTTGACAGTGTTGGAACACTGTGGAAGCTAGCGAGCCTTGGTGATGTAGCGCAAAATAGTTGACGCCGAGAACATTGTCTGAAAGGAAATTGCTCAAATTTTGTTATCGGGAGGCGCGCGTACGCGTTTGCATAACGCGTACGCTTCTTATCGCCGAGAGCGGTGTCGAAACAGATAACACGTAACACGGGCTGCGGCGTCATGTGCTTTCACAGAGTTGGAGCTCTGCATATGCTAGGCGAGCCTTGGCAAGGTAGCACGAAGTAGGTGACGCCGAGTGTACGAGTGCAATTGCCGATTGAGCAAGCAAGGGAAGCGTGTTCGTCATACCTCGGCCGAAAAAGAACTGGTTCTGCAAAAGAAAACAAAAAGAAAGGAGGTGTCCATTTTTTTTATCGATATGAAAAATAACTTAATAAGAAAATAAACGACGTGCAAAAAAGTAACTTTTTTTTATTAGTGTGCGATAAGTTGTTTGAATCCAATCGCACTGTCACTGTGAAGAGAACAGCTATGCCGTACCCTTAAAGGGACACTGCAATGAAAAAGACAATTTATTTCTAAAGGCTTTATAAGGGACGCGTATATTCAACAAACGTATTACCACGGAAAATATAATTTTTCAAAGAAATATTTGCGCCACTAGACGAAATTTAGGGGCCGAAGGTGGAGCTCCCAGCCCGCTAAGCCCCGCCCCGTGCTTACAAGGTGGTTACATCTCTCAATAGGGTCTAGGACTTTTCGGTCTAGGGCGTTTCAGTGTAGGGCGTTTCGAATCCCGAAGAAAAGCTCACCGGAGAAAAGCTCACCGGAGAAAAGCTCACCGGAGATAAGCTCACCGGAGAAAAGCTTATCGCGAAACCGGCGGATGTGGAGAAAAGCTCACCGGACATTGAGCGTATGCGGAGAAAAGCTCACGGATATTTTCTTCTTCTTTTTATATAGAGGCTGTTGGAACATGCGTTGCATATATCAATTTATTATCATAAAAATTCGTCAGCTTTGTAAAAAAGAAAATGTCGTTTTTTGTATATTGCTCATAAATTAGTAATTGCAGGCGAGTGTTTTCTGTGACTTACTCTCTGGGCAACGAAAGCCTAACTGAAAACTTCATGAACTTGGAGTACAGGAGCAAGTTTGAAAACTTAATAATGTCTGCAAAAAACCTAAAAATCAAAACTGTAAATGCCGAAAATCCGAAAGCGAATGCGCAACAACGCGGTGCCTGAAATTTTCTTTAAAGCTTTTGTTAACTTTTGAAAACAGGATAAAAAAAGTCAGTAGGATATCGAGGCTTCTTTCTTCCTCGGACATGCACGTTTTCTCGCCGTTCGTGCTGGTGTTTCCACACGCTGCCTTTGTGTGATAGTGGCCTTCTACGGCGAGCCACCCATGACCTTCAGAGCGGCACACTGGCGCCGCTGTCTTTTGTAAGGTAGCGATTAGAGCGAGTTGATAAACGTTATACATGATGAAAACCGCTCAAACGACGATGACGGAGTGAATACAACAAACACGAGGGGACGAAGCTGTTCTCGCAACTAAAGGTTTGTTAGTGAAATTAACAGAAAGAAAACAGGCGTAGCCGACACTGTTTACATCAACAGATACCTACTTATTTATTAGGCACTACACAATGTTTAGAGCTGACACGGTTCACCACACCGCTATTCATATTAGCTCGCAAAGAACAAACCTCTTTATCTGACAGAGCCACCGACGACGCACTGTCAGCTGTCAATAAATTCTTGTGCTTTTTAACGGTGTGCGATGTTCTAATTTTATACTTGCGGCTTTATTAATATACAGAATGGGTGGTTACTAAGTTCTGAGAAATTAGTAAATATGCCCAATGAACTTCAAGAATATTCCATAAAAGAGGACATATTTTTAATGAAGTGACGAATCCGAATTGTGTTAAATTGCCACGTTTGACGCAGAACCCGTTAAGTTAAAAAGATCGGTGAGCTTTTCTCCACATCCACTCAAAGGCCGGTGAGCTCTTACCCACATCTGCCGGTTTTGCGGTGAGCTTTCCTCCGGTAAGCTTATCTCCGGTGAGCTTTTCTCTGGTGATCTTTTCTCCGCTGCCCGGACGTTTCGGTGCGGACTTTCGGTCTATGGGCTTTTCGGTGCACAGACTTTTTGGTGCATGGACTTTTCTGTGTGGGACTTTTCGATGCGCGGACATTTCGGTGCACGGACATTTCGGCGCACAAAAAATTAAAATCACGAGTTTTTTCTTATTTTATTTTTTTAAACACAATAAGCACTATTTTAGCTAAAATCTATTTCTTCGCACTTTACAATTTTTAGACCTGGTCATTCATTTACGGTCACTTACTGATATACCACCTAAGTGACTTTGTTACGCGCAGTACCATCCTGCGTAAGGATTGGAGACGTTGGACATAATGGTTCGTTTGTCGGTGTCTCTTTTCCAACGTACGCACTAGTCGCATCACATGTCTCGAGTAATTTTCAACAATCTCAAGCTTGCTGTTTGGGCCTTTCCTACACAGACTACCAATAACGAAGCCTACACCTTTACAGGAGGCGCCCAGAACGTCTGTACCGACCCAACGTGTAAACACGAAGTGATGCGTCTAGTGCGTAGGTTGGAAAAGAGGCACCGACAAAACGAACCATAATGTCTCTAATCCTCACGCAGGATGGTACTGCGCCTAAAAAAGTCACTTAGGTGGTATATCAGTATTTGACCGTAAATGAATGACCAAGTCTAAAAAATTATAAAGTGCGAAGTAATAGATTTTAGCTAAAATAGTGCTTATTACGTTTAACAAAAAAAAAAATAAACAACTCGTGAGTTTGATTTCCCGTGCACCGAAATATCCGTACATCGACAAGTCCGTGCACTGAAAAGTCCATACACCGAAAAGACCGCATTGAAACGCCCTACACCGAAATGTCCAGATCCCCTCTCAATAGCCGAAAAAATTATTGGCGTGTGAAAGGTTGGTTGTAAATTTGTATGTCCGTGCCGTAATAGCATTTTTACAGACTATTTTTGTACCTCTGAGAAGCAAATAATCAAGATAGACTCAATATTGTTTTCAAATGCATTCTGAGGTGGTTTCCTCCGCTTTGGATTGAAACGTTAGCAAACATGGCTGCCGTAGTTTTCGGAGTGCGGAACGAGCGCAGCTCGCTAGGCGTGTTAAGTCTTTTTTTTTTTTTTAATTATGAGTCGTTTTGTGTTCACAGACGTATTTAGAGAAAGATCTCCTGAACCGACGTAGTTTGCAGCAAAGAACTGTCGCAAACACTAAACAAAATGAAAAATCGCGCACAAAAAGACAAGGTCAAAAGAGGAGGGAATATAGAACACAGACAGGCGCGTACTCACAACTCTGGTATATTAGGTGAAGAAAAGAATGATGAAGCCTTTTTTTTCCGGGAAATATTTTTTCGGGAACTTTTTTCCGGGGACATTTTTTCCGGTGACGTTTCTTCAGGAACCCATTCATGACACGGGACACCAGCACCAGAGAAAATACAGTTTAGTCGCAGTCAAATGGTCCCAAAAACACAAGAATAAAAAAAAAGAATAAAAACACTTAGGGACAAAGACAGACAGCACAGTTCTTTCAACCAGCAACGAACATTTACTTATATCTCTCTCAATGGGTACTATCTCCCTCCCCACTTTTTAAACTAAAGAAACTAATCCTATAGTTGAAAGAACTGCGCTCTCACTCCTTGTCCCTAAGTGTTTTCATTCTTTCTTTTTTTTTGATTCTTGTATTTTCACCAAAACGTTCTTTGGTCTTTGTTTGTTGGTTGCAAAAAAAGCAACTTCTTTTTCACTCAGAGCAACCGACGGCTTAGTAAAGCAGCAATAGACCATTTGCTACATTACCCAAGCATCAAGGAGAACGCAGGGATTGGTGTTCCACGCGCCACACGCGCACGCCTTCCCCGTATAAAAGATTCGAGGTAAACAACAAAAAATAAAGCGTTGACGAACGCGCGTGCAAGGTTCAATTTGTTTGAGGTTTTTGCTTTAGAAAATTT